GGGTCTATTGGAAATAGCCTCTCTATCCTTACAAGGTAGGGGTAAGGTCTGCGTACACACTACCCTTCCCAGACTCCACGGTGTGGGATAAGACTGGGTATGTTGTTGTTGTTGTTAATTGAAGTTAAAGAGAATTTGAAAAAAAAAAATGTTTCTTGTTTTTCATAAACTTTAATCTTTTTGTTAACACATTTATTTTGTCAAAATCATTATTATTTGACATGGAATAGGAAATAATTAATCTACTTATAAATTATTCATAATGTCCCATGATTATATCCTAATCAATCATGTGGATCGCAAGCTTAAGATGTAGTAGAAATAATTGTATCAGTCAAAATGATAGATGTAGTAGATCGAACATAAACCAATCCAATGTATTTTGTGTTTTAAAAAAAACTAATATTACAACATTTAAAAGGGAAGTTAACATACAAAATTTTATTATTTCGTTTGCTTTTGTATTACATAAATTGAGATCTCTACACATTAAAGCTCTCAATCTACAATGTTAAGGCATATAACTCCGGATCCAAATTGACATTAAAACAACATATACTAAAATCTTCTCTTAGAACGTGCATATGTGCAAGTCCTAGAAATAATTTATATGTTATATTAACAATTACATTAAAAAAAAATTAACATGGGGAAATTGTTAATTAATTCAGTAAACTTAAGCTTGATCAATTTCTTCAGGCAACAATTCAAGTTCTTTAAAGACTTCAGCACACTCAGGGGCAGCTTCTTTCTTCACAAAAAATAAAGGGTTAGCGTGACGAATCGTCTCAGCCATGCCATTATTGCTAGTGATAGTAATTCTTGCAGATTCTTTTGCATGGCCTTCATTTGGGATCTCAGAGCAATCTTCCTTGCTGCTCTTCATTAATATCATCTCGCAGATCTCGTCCTCGTGGTCGCGTTCCACGAGGAGGCTGTAGACGCCGTTCTTGTCGGTTTGACCCTCAACCGTCAAGGTGACACTGTCGTCTGTGCTGTTTCTGCATTGCAACCGCACCTCCGCGCCTGCATACATGCATGTAAATACTTTTACAAGATTCAAGATTTAATCTTTATGGATTTAATCTTTTAAGTTTTTATTATTGAACTCGTTACACTTTTAAAATTTTGAAATAAATTAGTGTTGCTGAATATTAGTAAATTTTTACATATATATATCTATAGTCTGCGTTTAAAATATATGTTAGAATTTAGCTGAGCTCATTAAATTCATGCTCCATCCGCCTCTTTTAGCCACTTACTAATTAACGTCACAAATTATGAGATGATTTGATCGATGACCCTACCTTATTAATGGCAACTTCTGTATCTATTACTTTCTCATGTCCACAATAAGTGATTTTTTGGCTCTTTTCACACAGATTAAGAAATTCACTTTTTAACATTAATTAGCTCTTTTCACTATTTACTCCAAGGACAATGTGGGAAAAAAATAATTAATTCATTCTTGAAATCTGAAAAAAATCATTTATTTTGGACCACAAAAAAAGAGCCAAAAAATCACTTATTGTGGAGCGGAGGGAGTATTATTTTATTGTTGTTCTGTCTCCAGGTTCGAAATTTTATTTTATTTTTTCCTTTTAGATGCATAATAATAAGCTTGATTCTAAAAAAATCCTCCTATCTAAGTTGCACTATAAAATTAAAAACAAAAAAAAACAAAGAATAAAACATCATTCTTTTTTTATTTTATTATTTTCAGTTTTCATAACTTTTAAAAAACTGTTTACATATAAAATGGAAAAAAGAAAAATAATAAATACCTGGCATTGGCTTACTGAGCCGGTTTTCGAAGAGAGCACGGCAAAAATCACAATAAACTTTTCCTTCCACATGAAACTGAGCCTGAGCTTGAGCCTGAGTTATCCCAATAAGGGAAAACAAACAAATAGCACTGGCAATTAGAATAATTGCACCTGATTTTGTCATTTTTCTTTTTTCTTGCTGTAGATTGCAAATGATAAAAGTTAATAAAATCTACAAGGAGAGTTCCTGTATTTTTATTTAGAGGAAAGTGATGAAATTTGTAATTGAGAGGATGGTTTATATTTTGCATTTTCAGTTATTATTGTGAGGTTATCTTGTTCTTTTGGTATTTCTGTGGTTACATTTTTCTTTTTTTTAATTTTTACTTAATTGATAAAATTAATCCTTTTATTTTCTTTTTGTTTAATGGAAAAGAAATAGAAGTTCCTCCTATTTTCACTCATCTATAGAAAAATCAAGGGTATATTAGTGGAATCTTACTAAAGTTTAGCTCGGACGCTCAATTTCTTTTCCAAATAAATTCAACAACAAAAATAAATTTTGATGAAACAATAGCACAATTAAGGGTCACCAATAATCGTATCAGCATTTACGGAAACAGAAAATTCATCAAAGAGATTAAAAATAAAAAAATTAAAGACCTGAAGAAACCAAGAAGATTCAACATCTAATAACCTAAGTCTTTATTCTCTATTTTTCCACATACGTTATATAAGTTGTTTAAAAGGTCGAAAGGTGTCAAAATGGATAATTTGGTCAAGATTGACTATAGTCTTGTCCCACGTCGTCCAAACTTTATTTTGGTCAAATGTGATTGGTTAAATATGTTAAATGGAAAATCACAATCAATTCAAGACTTCTTAAAACTTTTTTTTGGGGGTGGTTACAATTGGATCAATGAAAAGTTTTTTTTATCTGTCTATTTCATTTTTATTTTAGTTAGAAAATTGAGTAAAATATTGCGTAAAACTTAACATGAGCTTATTCGCTTCAGCTACTAAAATAACTACCCTCTATAGCCCCTCAAAATTTTAATAACCCATGTTTTTTTTTACTTACACGAAATGGCCCTTCGGCCCAAACATATTACATCTAATAGCACGAAATGTCTATTTTATATATTTTTTGTATAGTGACAGTCTATTTTGTATAATGACAGTCTATTTAGTATATATTTTGT